TTTGGCTAAGTTTGTGTGTTCCAACTTTGATTCAAAATACATCTTAATTGCATATATTCTGTTTTAGGGACCTTGATTATTTTAATTTAGCTTCTTTGTAATGTGAGTAGCTTGGTTTTTATCCTGGCCTGAAATCAGACCTCCAGCAGTCTGTATTTGTAGCAGGACCTTCTGTAATAGTGAAAGTGGAAGTTCTTTGGTACAGAGTGAAACTGAATTGAAAATGGAAACASAAAGGGAAATACCAGCTACCTTCAGTTTAAGCTGTTCAATATGTTCTTCCTAGTTATGTTACACAGAAAAGAGCATTTACTGTCTTCACTTGTCTTAATGGTTTTCTTTTTTTTGTCTAATATTAAATTCTTGTGGTATATTCTTCACCAAATCTCAACAYTGTTCGTTGTATAATCCCTTTGTGACAATTAGCAGAGGAAGGTTTTTTAATAATTTCCATAGCTTTTCAAGTTTGTATAGTGAAGTAGTAGTTCTTTGGTGCTTAAGGTAATTTGCTCATTTCAAAGGATTATGATTCCTTGCRTATGTGTGCACACGAGCATATACACACAAAATAGCTTAAATATACAAAAAATACCAGTGAGTACTTTTAAAAGGGATTAAGGTAATCTCAATCTGGCACCACCTAATAAACCTTCTAGGTGTTTGAAAAAAAACCCAATACCTTTTTCCTTTGTTTACTAAACACTTATCATGGTGTTTTTTATAGTAAAATCCACAAGCAAGCCTAAAGCTCCCAGTAAAGATGCAGTCCTTAAATGCAGTTTGGTTTTGATAATTTTAAGATACTTTTAAGCTTTGAAATGATCTATTTATTCATGGTGTGTTCTTGTCTCATATTCGTTAGGCAGATCAGAACTAAATGGAAGTTGATTGGATTCTTTTGATCAAATGTAGCCAAAGTTAATTAAATACTAGTTTTCTATGGCCAAGCCACTTCTTGGGCTGCTAGAATGCTGACAGCAGTGTTGTAAATTCTTGTCAATCTGCCTGTCACTCATTGCTTGTGAAAGTGCTGAGGGAAATGACAAATTGTGATATGTTAAAGAAAGAGGAAAGACATGTTAAATTATGTTTTATTTTTCAGTTCTTCTCAGCCTATTGCAGCTGCTGTTCCAGATGAGTTTTTGAGGATGCTGGCACTCTTCAAAGCATAATTTCTCAAAGGAAAACTCAGTTGCTATAAAGGAATTACTTCATTTCACGTTCCAAGCCCTACTGGACAAAATAAACTTAAAATCCATCTAGCTGCCTTTCCAAGCAAGTGTTTCATTRCTCCAGAAAACTACTTCAGAAAGGCAGGAATTATTGTGTCTGCTGTACTGGGTAGTGCAGAGCCTGTGGAATGKCCTGTGTGTTCTGTGTTAGGACTGCTCTGTGTGGGAGTCATCACCTGCTCACCTCAGCATGGATTGCCCATGTGTGTAAATTGTCTGCAGTATCATGTATAAAAAGGGGAAAAACCCTCAAAATTCCTTAAAGTAGAGAAATAATCTGATCACAAGCTATTTGCTTCTTATGTTTAGCATAACTGGTTTATAGTTTGGGGCTGAGGTGACTGAGATGGGAGTTCCCTCAGGCTGCAGATCTTGCCTATAATTAAGAAGAGGTGGAGGAAATTCTGCAATTAAATGGTTTTAATTCTGATAAAACTGCAGTAAAAGGTRATGGGATGGGGCATGCACAGGTCAATCCAGACAGACTTAGCAGTGACAGAACCAGAGCATCCTGTGTTCCTCTGCAACACAGGAAGCCCGTTGACATTTATGGATAATTAATTACAAGTGAGAACAGGGTCAAGAAATAAAGTCTTGAAAGAGACACAAGAAACCAAAATTTGAGGGGAAGATATTTTAAAATAGTTTGATTTTGTGTGAACATTTCTTGCTTTACAGTTTGGCTCTAAACCAGGAATCTCTCATCTTAATTTGTTTGCTTAAGTATCATCACAGGAAGAATTGGTCAGGTCTTGCAGGAGGAGGTGTTTTCCCTGTCTTCTGGTGCATTCTGACAGCCCATCAGGACTGTGCTTCCAGCCCTGCCTCTCTGTCTTCCATGTGTGCAGTCAGATGCCCTGAGCTGTCTGACTGTATATTATTATGCTTTCAAACGTCCCTCAACAACAATTACTKTTTTCTTCTGGGGGAAAAAAGAAACTACAAGCCAAATTACTTTTTTTCTATACCACTTTATAATGTGACAGTGATCTCCCGTTCTTTAAAAATGCAGAGAATACAAGTTGTCTCATAAAGAAGCTCCAGCCCTCGTTGTATGAGAAGATAGATGCCATCAAGGGGAATGGGTGGCAAATTTGTTTGAAAATTATTTCCCCTCCCATCAGTAATTTAAAAAACCCTGCCTGGATACTGAAGTAAAATCTATACATATGACTGCATTTGGTTTGCAAAAATGTTTCTGGGAAGAAGTATTGAAGAAACTGTTGATGTCCTACAGCTGCATGTCAAAAGTGCATGCCAGCAATTGCACCTCATTGTTTTCTGTTGAGATACCTATTGAATACATCAGAGCAATTCCCAGAATGAGAAAATCAAACTAAACCAGAATGGTGTGGGAAAGTACAATGGAAGTGAGCAAGTTCATGTTGATATTTTTTATAGGTTTTTAAATAACCTCATATGAAAGCTCTTGAAAAGTCATGTATATAGAATTCTGTGCTGTATTTTGTCATTATTTTAAAGCATGAACATTTTATCAATAGAAGAAAACATAAATATACCAAGTMTGGCATAGATAAACCTTTCAGGTTTTGTCAGTCTTTCATTTTCAAGTTTTCTATCATGATCCAGTATAGTAAAAGAAATCTTGGCATTTTTTAAATTTTGTGAAGTGCTTGTAGACACATTGAAATGTGATATTCACCCCTGTACTGCCACCCTTTTTAGATTGTGCTGCAGTAAGAAGCACTTTGAGAGCCTCTTCATTATTCCAGCCTGTTCTCTCTCAGACTGGAGTCATAAATCTTTGCAGCTTAGTTGCACTTTCTGAAGAATACAGGGATTCRTAAATTAAAATGAGTTGCTAAATGCTGAGTAACTTTTGCATTTCTGAAAAGTTGACTCATTTAAATAAAATGTCATCCTACCTCTTCAGTTGAAATCCTGAAGTTGGTTTATGTTTGTTAGGATTAAAGTTTYTCCAGACCTGTCCCTGACATATGGATTTCTTAATTTTTAGCTTTTAAGCATAACTTTTCACATCATGTTTAACTGCAAGAAGGAGCATTTGATTTTTCACATCTGCTTGAAATCTTTCTGGTGTGTTGAGAGTGCTGGAGTTGAGGCAAGCTCACAGGAGGGGTTTTCTGACARTCGTAGAGAGCCAAAAACCTTGAGACATGGGAACGTAGCTCTAGCTGGAGTCACATGAACCAAATCTGAATTCATCACAAAAGCTGAATCACTGGATGAGTAATTGTCACTAGCAATCAGATGACATGGCTTCATGTATGTTTACCAAGCAGAGCTGTAAAAGCTTTGAGGARAGGATTTCTGAGTACGTGAAGTTTTAGGGGTTTTGACTGAATGTAGCTCTTTGTTTGAGTTKCCAGTAAATCTCTACGCTGTTGAAGCATGTCAAAGATTTTAGTTGTTTGTACTTGAATAATAATGTGTAATTATTTATGGTAGTATTTTCTGGATTTGAAAATCTGTACAAGATAAAGTGATCGACTCTGATTYATCATRGTGCTCCAAGTACTTGTTTCTAAGTTCTAGATTTCTGCTTTCTTAGCAGTCTTCTTTCTTTCTTCTTGCCACTTTTAATTAATTTTAAAACATAATTTTGCTCCAGTGTTAACATTAAAYCCAGTGAAAACCTGAAGCTCCAATCTGCCTTCTGACTGTTGAGCTGGTACTGCACAATATGAGTGATACATGTTGCATATAAATTCAATACTATAAAATTAAAAAGGAGATTCAAAATATGTGATTTTTRTAAAATATGTGATGTCTGTAATGAGACACCTTCTGTGCTCTTTTGTAGTTAAGTGTGTATCTAGTTAAAGGTGTACTCTATTTATATCCAACAGAACAGATGAAGCCAAAAAGATAAAATGCAACTAACTCTGTGAAATAGTTTTAGTTGGTGGATAGATGTCTGTGTTGCTGAACTTTTGTTATGGTATAGTAAAAGTTTGTCACAGTGGAACACAAAATTCCTTTGTAGTTAAATCTATCCCTTGAAGTGGAAATAGTTCTGTAATTGTTTTCCAATAGTTAAAATAGCTTTAGAGCATCAATGGGGCACTTACAAACTTTTAYTGCTAGAACTGGAACAGAAAAAATCTCACAAAAGGATGCAGGGAATGGTTCATATTRCAGGTTCTCAGTATGTGAAAAAACAACTGAAAGGTGGAGGGTTTGGGGTTTTCAAACTGGTTATTAATGTAGTTTCTATTCAGACATAAAGACAGTATTTCAGTCTGTTCTAGTCTGGGGTTTTGTTTGGTTTTGGTTTTTTGAGTTATTTTTTTTTAAAATCTGAGAGTACATTTGTGTGTATAGCACTTAACTTGATTAATAATAGTCAATGCAGAGGGAGGTTGACTCTTTTGCATCKACATCCAGTGCTCAGATAATGTATTTAAAATCACACTAAGCCTTCCTGATGGTCTCTCAGCAGTTATTTGAAAAGATAAAGGCAAAGCAGAGCTTACTTGCCAATATTCCTAATTAAAAACAAAACTGTAACTGGAATGTGGATTTTTTTTCACTGGTAGAGAACAAAAGTTGTAATTTAAAGCTTAAGGGTTTTAATAGACATGAAATGCAATTACTGTTTACTAGCAAACGTGACAGCACTTTATTCTTATGAAGTATTTCTTGTTTTCCTCCTATTACTGCTGTATTTTTTCACATATAATAAGAGTGTTTAACATAATATGAACTGTGGTTTGGCTATTTTTTGTTGTGTTTTGTAATCCTGGTGCATATATG